AGAGAGAGAGAGAGAGAGAGAGAGAGAGAAAGAGAGAGAGAAAGAGAAAGAGAGAGAGAGAGAGAGAGAGAGAGAGAGAGAGAAAGAGAGAGAGAGAAAGAGAGAGAGAGAGAGAGAAAGAGAGAGAGAAAGAGAGAGATGGATCAGTAAGAGCCCGTCACCCATAGAAGCCCCCCGATAGGCACAGCGGGTGCAGGTGATGGGGAGGGGCGGTGATTCTGCAGCACCGCAGCGTAACCACACATGGGGCGGAGGAGCCCGGTCATGTGACGGGACGACGCACACACAGTACCTTGAGGTTGGGGGTGAAGGGGTCCGGAAGTCGCATGTTTCGGGGAAAGGCACTCAGGATCAGATTCCTCAGCTGGATGCAGTTGGGTGGGATGACGTCACAGAAGCCATAGTGATAATCACAGAGGAACTCTGGGAAGTCGTGGAGCAGAACCAGCAGCACGCGCAGTGTGCCCTGCACAAGACAAATGCAGAGTACATACGTCACCTTACTAGAGGGGCGGAACCCCAAGAACTGTTTCTTTTTTGGGGGGGGGGGGGGACAAGACTGTAATGGTAACCGGGGGCTACAATAAGCTCGACATCACATGACACGGAAGGCACCAATGAGGCGCATGGTAAGAGACTGTAATGGTAACCGGGGGCTACAATAAGCCCGACATCACATGACACGGAAGGCACCAATGAGGCGCATGGTAAGAGACTGTAATGGTAACCGGGGGCTACAATAAGCTCGACATCACATGACACGGAAGGCACCAATGAGGCGCAACTTACCTTGTAGAGGATTTGCATAGGTTTGGAGAGTTCCACGTTTCGGAGGAACGGGGCCAGATATTTGAAGAGGTCGATCAGTAGCTGGGCGTACATCGGCCACCCCTGCCGGGAGACAAAGGGTTAAGTGACGCAAGGCTCCGAGTGACGACGCACGCCGGAAACAAACGGTCGCTTACCTTCTGCTGGGGAGTGTGCGCCAACATTCGTGCGATGAAGATGCGGTGAGAGATCAGCTCCAGCCAGGCGTAGACGAAGCCCGAGGCTTTGGTGGGCCGGAGGATGTGGAAGGTATTGCTGGAAGAAGACACAAATGTGGTCACAGATCGCCTACAGGCAAGCTACGCGGGGAGGGGGGGTCTGAAGAATGCGGCTACGGGGGAGGGGTGAAGAACGCGGCGGCGGGACTTACCAGAAGGCGGTGAGGGTCTGGAAGTTGATGGTTTCTAACACATGTTCCGGGGCGTTCAACTCCAGCAGCAGCATGATGAAGATTCGATGGTACGGAAGCTGCTGGAACTCACTCTGCCTCACCTCATGATCCTGGAGCAGAACTCCGACCACGATACCGAGAACCTGCCACAAAACATAACGTCACTACCAGGACTGCGATACCAAGAACTGGCACACAAGGGGTCACTACCCTGACTACGGTACCATGACCCTGGCACACAAGGGGTCACTACCAGGACTACGGTACCATGAACCTGGCACACAAGGGGTCACTACCCTGACTACGGTACCATGACCCTGGCACACAAGGGGTCACTACCCTGACTACGGTACCATGACCCTGGCACACAAGGGGTCACTACCAGGACTACGGTACCATGACCCTGGCACACAAGGGGTCACTACCCTGACTACGGTACCATGACCCTGGCACACAAGGGGTCACTACCCTGACTACGGTACCATGAACCTGGCACACAAGGGGTCACTACCCTGACTACGGTACCATGAACCTGGCACACAAGGGGTCACTACCAGCACTACGGTACCATGATGCTGGCACACAAGGGGTCACTACCCTGACTACGGTACCATGAACCTGGCACACAAGGGGTCACTACCAGGACTACGGTACCATGATGCTGGCACACAAGGGGTCACTACCAGGACTACGGTACCATGACCCCGGCACACAAGGGGTCACTACCCTGACTACGGTGCCATGACCCCGGCACACAAGGGGTCACTACCCTGACTACGGTACCATGACCCCGGCACACAACACTATGAGTAGAACACCCCGCAGCCCCCCAGAAGGGGACGGGTCCTCACTTTGTTGAGAAGGTTGATCTTGGTCACGGTATTGGTGGCCTCTCCGGAGTGCTTGACCAGCAGCGCGATGAGCCTGACGAAGGCGTCGAGGTTGTGGTAGCACTTGGCTCGGATCATGGTAGGGTTGGCGGCCGGGTTGTGCTGCTGCTCGGCCTGAGCGCGGTAGCTGATTTCCACGCACATCTCCGTACACAGGCGGAAGAATCGGGTGATGAGGTCGTCGGTCTTCAGAATGCCCTGTTGGTGCATCTGAACAATGAGAAGGACAAAGTGAGACGGGTCCGAGGGGCCGGGAGGTCTCATCGGGTTCCGGAACTCACCTGCCCAACAAACGCAGAGAAGGCCTTGGTGCTGTCCCGTCCGGCCGCAGCCGAGTGGTACAGATTGACCCATTCTCTCAGGAGGTACTCGGCCTTTTCCCGGAGTCCCGGGGGATCATCGTACTCCGAGGCTTGAGATATCCCAGAATGCATCATGAAGTTGGGGCCGCCCTGGGCCCGTTCAATCATGGCCTCGAAGTTAGAGCGGAGCACATCCATGAGCTGTGGAAGCCTGAACACGGAACACGGAGGAGACGTCAGGAAGAGGAAGGGACGTCCAAATCAGCCAATACACCCCCACCGAGACTCTGCGACCAATCACACGGAAGGGACTGGAGACCACCACACGGACCGTGCAAACCGCACGCACAGACACGGACCGTGCAACCCGCACGCACAGACACGGACCGTGCAACCCGCACGCACAGACACGGACCGTGCAACCCGCACGCACAGACACGGACCGTGCAACCCGCACGCACAGACACGGACCGTGCAACCCGCACGCACAGACACGGACCGTGCAACCCGCACGCACAGACACGGACCGTGCAACCCGCACGCACAGACACGGACCGTGCAACCCGCACGCACAGACACGGACCGTGCAACCCGCACGCACAGACACGGACCGTGCAACCCGCACGCACAGACACGGACCGTGCAACCCGCACGCACAGACACGGACCGTGCAACCCGCACGCACAGACACGGACCGTGCAACCCGCACGCACAGACACGGACCGTGCAACCCGCACGCACAGACACGGACCGTGCAACCCGCACGCACAGACACGGACCGTGCAACCCGCACGCACAGACACGGACCGTGCAACCCGCACGCACAGACACGGACCGTGCAACCCGCACGCACAGACACGGACCGTGCAACCCGCACGCACAGACACGGACCGTGCAACCCGCACGCACAGACACGGACCGTGCAACCCGCACGCACAGACACGGACCGTGCAACCCGCACGCACAGACACGGACCGTGCAACCCGCACGCACAGACACGGACCGTGCAACCCGCACGCACAGACACGGACCGTGCAACCCGCACGCACAGACACGGACCGTGCAACCCGCACGCACAGACACGGACCGTGCAACCCGCACGCACAGACACGGACCGTGCAACCCGCACGCACAGACACGGACCGTGCAACCCGCACGCACAGACACGGACCGTGCAACCCGCACGCACAGACACGGACCGTGCAACCCGCACGCACAGACACGGACCGTGCAACCCGCACGCACAGACACGGACCGTGCAACCCGCACGCACAGACACGGACCGTGCAACCCGCACGCACAGACACGGACCGTGCAACCCGCACACACGGACCGTGCAACACACACACACGGACCGTGCAACACACACACGGACTGTACAACCCGCACACACTACACGCTGCAGATACAGGCGTGATCCGGGTATGGGTTATGCGTTTCCTGTAGCACCACAGCGTAACCTCCGCCCAGAAAAGGACACAGGTTTAAAAATGGTGCGAGTAATCGTATGGTGGTCACCTCCAGGTCCTTGACTCATCCCTCTGACGTCCCTACCACATGCGTCGCTCACCCTTCTGGTGCGTTGCCCCTGGAGTGCGCATTAATACGCATCAGAGTCTCTATGGTGTGGAAAAACTCCGCCTCCGTCACGTGACTGACGCTGCGATCGTCCACAAGCAAGATCTTCACCAGCTGCATAGCGAAGGCCACGGCCATGTAGTTCAGCCCGTTCTCCATGGACTGCAGAGAGGAAGCAGATGAGTGGAGCAGCCAATGAAAAGACAGGAATTGTAGACGAGGCGCGCCGGAAGCTTACCTGTGCCAGGTGGACATCGTACTGCTGCATGTTCACAAGATGGTTCCTGATCAGAAGCTCCACAGCCTCCACGTTGTACTTGTACTCGTCCCGACACTCGATCAGACACCTGCCAGACAAGCCGGTAAGGAAGCCGTATATCCCCCCTGAACTCCACCCGCCATGCCAGAACACGGAGCGCCTCCCCCCACCATGCCAGACCACGGAGCTCCTCCCCCCACCATGCCAGACCACGGAGCTCCTCCCCCCACCATGCCAGACCACGGAGCTCCTCCCCCCACCATGCCAGACCACGGAGCTCCTCCCCCCACCATGCCAGACCACGGAGCTCCTCCCCCCACCATGCCAGACCACGGAGCTCCTCCCCCCACCATGCCAGACCACGGAGCTCCTCCCCCCACCATGCCAGACCACGGAGCTCCTCCCCCCACCATGCCAGACCACGGAGCTCCTCCCCCCACCATGCCAGACCACGGAGCTCCTCCCCCCACCATGCCAGACCACGGAGCTCCTCCCCCCACCATGCCAGACCACGGAGCTCCTCCCCCCACCATGCCAGACCACGGAGCTCCTCCCCCCACCATGCCAGACCACGGAGCTCCTCCCCCCACCATGCCAGACCACGGAGCTCCTCCCCCCACCATGCCAGACCACGGAGCTCCTCCCCCCACCATGCCAGACCACGGAGCTCCTCCCCCCACCATGCCAGACCACGGAGCTCCTCCCCCCACCATGCCAGACCACGGAGCTCCTCCCCCCACCATGCCAGACCACGGAGCTCCTCCCCCCACCATGCCAGACCACGGAGCTCCTCCCCCCACCATGCCAGACCACGGAGCTCCTCCCCCCACCATGCCAGACCACGGAGCTCCTCCCCCCACCATGCCAGACCACGGAGCTCCTCCCCCCACCATGCCAGACCACGGAGCTCCTCCCCCCACCATGCCAGACCACGGAGCTCCTCCCCCCACCATGCCAGACCACGGAGCTCCTCCCCCCACCATGCCAGACCACGGAGCTCCTCCCCCCACCATGCCAGACCACGGAGCTCCTCCCCCCACCATGCCAGACCACGGAGCTCCTCCCCCCACCATGCCAGACCACGGAGCTCCTCCCCCCACCATGCCAGACCACGGAGCTCCTCCCCCCACCATGCCAGACCACGGAGCTCCTCCCCCCACCATGCCAGACCACGGAGCTCCTCCCCCCACCATGCCAGACCACGGAGCTCCTCCCCCCACCATGCCAGACCACGGAGCTCCTCCCCCCACCATGCCAGACCACGGAGCTCCTCCCCCCACCATGCCAGACCACGGAGCTCCTCCCCCCACCATGCCAGACCACGGAGCTCCTCCCCCCACCATGCCAGACCACGGAGCTCCTCCCCCCACCATGCCAGACCACGGAGCTCCTCCCCCCACCATGCCAGACCACGGAGCTCCTCCCCCCACCATGCCAGACCACGGAGCTCCTCCCCCCACCATGCCAGACCACGGAGCTCCTCCCCCCACCATGCCAGACCACGGAGCTCCTCCCCCCACCATGCCAGACCACGGAGCTCCTCCCCCCACCATGCCAGACCACGGAGCTCCTCCCCCCACCATGCCAGACCACGGAGCTCCTCCCCCCACCATGCCAGACCACGGAGCTCCTCCCCCCACCATGCCAGACCACGGAGCTCCTCCCCCCACCATGCCAGACCACGGAGCTCCTCCCCCCACCATGCCAGACCACGGAGCTCCTCCCCCCACCATGCCAGACCACGGAGCTCCTCCCCCCACCATGCCAGAACACGGAGCTCCTCCTGCCATGCCAGAACACGGAACTCCTCCCACCATGCCAGAACACGGAGCTCCTCCCACCATGCCAGAACACGGAGCTCCTCCCACCATGCCAGAACACGGAGCTCCTCCCACCATGCCAGAACACGGAGCTCCACCCACCATGCCAGAACACGGAGCTCCACCCACCATGCCAGAACACGGAGCTCCACCCACCATGCCAGAACACGGAGCTCCTCCTGCCATGCCAGAACGCTCCTCCCACCAGGTCATGGTACATGCACCCAGAACACAGAGCTCCTCCCACCAGGTCACGGTACATGCACCCAGAACATGGAGCTAATCCCATGTCACAATACATACACCCAGAACGCCAGCCTCCACCTGCCATGTCACATGTACATGAACACTGAGCTCATCCCATGTCACGTTACAT